TTAAAAAACTGCGTACAATGCCCTTTGAATCTTTGATGCTGCCAATAATCTGCGCCAACCAAGTCTGAGCTTGATGACTGAGGATGACCATGAACAGGATCGTCAATACATGAAACAAAGACGTCGAGATGTGTAATACATTAAGTTAAAAAAAAAAGGGGGGGGGGGGCAGGCGTTGGAACTCAAACAAATCCATTATGAATTATCCAAATCCATTATAAATAACACACAACATACTACACACACACACACACAAAAACGGTGCAGAGAAGAAGAAGAGAGAAAAAGAGAAAGGAAAAAGAGGGAAAAAAAGGGAAAAGAGGAAGAAAAAAGAAAAAAAGGGGGAAAATTTGCCAATGTTTTTGGAATTAAGTGCTCTATCCTATTAGGCTTGAATTTCTCAATTTTGAAAGGTAAGTAAAAAGTTACTTACTGAAAGGTTATGTTTGATTTTATAATTGTTAGATTGTTAAATTAAATTAAATTAAATTTTATTGAAGGGATTAAGTATAATAAACTATGAAATTGAGTAAAATAAAAGAAAAATTAGTTTTTGTAATCAAAGAGACTTTAGAAATCGCCTAAACGTGAAATAATTAAGTTTGGATATCTCCTATTTAATTATGAAATTTCTTAAAATAGTTAAGTATTGATTTAAAAATGATATCATATTTCAGGCGACGATACAGATATCGGGACAGCGTACCAATCGAGTTGATTTTGGAGTACATAGTTCTCTGAGTGGAAAAATATAAATATTTTTAAAGTATTTATAAATTAAGTATATTGTTAAAGTATGTGCAATTATATGTAATTATGTGTTTGAAATACATGGTTATTATGAAAATCTCTTTTATTATAATACATGTGGAATATTAAAAATTATTTATGGCATATTTGTGACTTGGTATGTAAGACATGTGATATTGAGATTTGTTTGGAATGTGAGACATGCAATATTGAGATCGGCCAGAAAGGCATCCATGATTATATACTTCTTCTAGTTCACAAAGGGTCATTGGCCGTATTCTATCCTACATGGAAGGTTTTGACTTGACATTGGTCTTGATCGTGTACATATAGTTTACAGAGGGGCATTGGCCGTGTTCTAGAATTGATTATGAGAGATCTTTGAGACCCACTTTTGTTCGCGAAGGGAGCCAAAGGGCCGTGGTGAAAGTTCTTAGCCCGAGAGGCGGATTATATATTTCAGTCAGAGGGTATATTTTTGGTGGATTTTTCAACACGTTTGATGTGATGAGATTATAATATGGTTATCAGCTGATGTTATATCATGATTTTAAGATGATATTTTATGACCTTATGTGAATATTTCACTTTTGGCTATAATTACATGATGGTACCTTGTAAATTATCAAATGATATGAATTTGATTTTTAATAAAAATGTATAAATAAAAAAAGTATATTTATTTTGAACTTCTCCACTCACTGAGCTATCAACTCATATATTTTTTCACGTTTTTCCTTATCAGGTAGTAGTTGAGAATCTGGGTATCTTTTGGGGTTGAACCTTGATTTTGGAGTCAGATCCATACGATAGAGTTTGTTAGTATGACTCACTTTATAGAATATATAGTCAGTGTTTTGGGACGCATGTTCATGTCTAGATGTGATTTTGCATCACTTGTAGATAGTTATGAGGCTCACTATGTATTTTGTATCCATATGTATATTTCATTTTATTTCTTGGTAAAGGTTGAGATTTCGGCTTATCTTTATTGTGCTGTGTTATAATTTGAGATTTGTGTGAAATTGATCACAGGTTGGTTAGTCTTGTTTATAGAGGAGATAATGCCGAAATTCTATTAAAAAAAATGATGTAGAAAAAGTGATATATTGCATTTGTAGTAGCCTTGATGGTGGGTTCAACTTTTAGTTGGTATCTATCATCGGCGCATGCCACGTCCGAATCTAGTGGTGTTACACGGGGCGGGGTGTGTCAGTTTGGTATCAAAGCATGCATTAGAGTTCATGGGTTTGCATTGTACATGCATACATTCTAATGTTTAGCATATCATACATGACTGCAGGTGAGTCATGTCTCATGGTGGAAAAACTCGAAGGCTCCAAGATATGTTGACCAGTCTCACATTGCTTCTGATAGAGATGAACTGAGAGAGCCCGAGAGAGTAGATGAATCAGTTCATTAGCCTCCTGAACAACAGGGACAGGAAAATGTGATTGGAACTAATCCTATTACTGTTGAAAGAATTGCTATTGCTGTTACATCTACTATGCGTAATACTGACAGAGATTTTAGTATTGAAAGGGGTACAAAGTTAGGGGTTAAAGTGTTCACTGGCACAGTCGATCCTGCAGTTGCACAGGCATGGATGATCAATATAGAGAGGGTATTTAACGTTATAGGTTGCTTAGACGCTCGGAAGTTGTGTCTTGCCACCTTCTTATTAGAGGAGGGTGCGTATGATTGGTGGCAGTCAGTATGGAGCACATATCTAGACCCTTCCATCATTACTTGGACAGATTTTCATCGTATCTTCTACGATGCCTATTATACTCGGTCCTATAAAGATGCAAGGCAGGAGGAATTTTTGAAACTAGTACAAGGGCAGATGACAGTTGCAAAATATCAGGTGAAATTTATTGAACTTTCAAAGTATGCCTAAGTTTTGGTAAGCAACGAAATTGATAAATATAGACGATTTGAAAATGGGTTAAGGAAAGATATCCGATCAGTAGTAACAGCTGCAGGCTGGAATGTATTTGGCAAATTGGTGGAATCAGCTTTAAGAGTAGAAAAGAGCATTTCTGATAGGCCAAGTGGTAGAGAACAAGCAATGTTCAGAGCAAGCAGTGGTTAGACAATGGCAAGTGCTTCTAGCTATAGACCACCACAGAGGGACAGTAGCGGATTTCGACCTGATGTGTCTAGTTTAGGTTAATTCAAATCTCGGTTTCGAGGAAGTCAAGGTCCTAGATTCAGTCCCAGTATTATACAGCAGTCATTAGCCAATCGTAATTGTACTCAAGGTTCTTCTTAGAGATCATTTACTCTGAAATGGGGAGAGATTTCTACTAGTGCCAGATTTTCTTTTTGCCAATTATGTGGAAGATCTCATCCTGGAGACTGTTTAAAGTTCAAGGGAGTTGGTGTTTGCTATCGCTGTGGCCAAGAAGGGCATCTGAAAAGAAATTACCCAGTTGTATTCCAGGAGGGTGGCATGGCACAGAGGATGTTTTCTTAGCAAAGTGCTGGCAGTACAAGACAGAGAGATGATTCAGCTAACAGAGTAGGTGCAAATAGTGTGGCCCAGTCTAATATTGTGAGCCATAGTGGTACAAAATCAAAATGACAGGCAGGAGATCGAAGACCCAATGCAAAGTTTTTGCTATTACTCAGCAGGCGACAGAGGAGTCACCAGATGTTATCATGGGTATGTTGTCTATTTTTTATAGAATTGCTCGTATTTTGATTGATCCTGGATCTACATATTCCTTTATGTCATTTGCATTTATTTTATATGCGAATCAAAAGTTAGAACCTCTAGGCAGTTGTTTGGTAGTGAATACACCAGGAGGAGAATCACTATTAGGAAAAATAAATATTGAGATTGTGGAATTAAGGTAATGGAGAATGAGCTCAAGGCGAATTTAATACCTCTTGACATACATGATATCAATGTTATCTTGGGTATGGACTTTTTAACAACAAATTAAGCTTCAGTTGATTATTTACGAAAGGAGGTTGTGTTTAGACAGCCAGGACAGCCTGAAATTATATTCAATGGACAGCGCAGAATTTTACCATCTTGTGATTCTTGTGTGATATCTGCTATTGACGCTAGAATGTTACTCAACAAGGGCCGTCATTCATATTTGGCTCATATAATTGATACAAATGTAAGCAAACTAAAACTTGAAGATATCCCAGTGGTCAAGGACTTTTCTGATGTATTTCCAGAAGAATTACCAGGCTTACCATCAGACAAAGATATAGAGTTCACTATAGATCTAATTTCAGGAACTGCACCTATTTCACGGGCACCCTATATAATGGCATCAGCAGAATTGAAAGAGCTAAAGGTTCAGTTGCAAGAGTTGGTAGACAAGGGTTTCATCAGACCTAGTGTATTTTCGTAGGGAGCACCAGTTTTGTTTGTGAAAAAGAAAGATGGCACCATGCGACTGTGCATAGATTACAGACAATTGAACAAAGTGAAGATTCACAATAAATATCCTTTGCCACGTATTGATGATCTGTTTGATCAGCTTCGCGGTGCTGCAGTATTTTCAAAGATTGATTTGTATTTTGGATATTATCAACTTAAAATCAGGGACAATGATGTGCCAAAAACTGCTTTCAGGACAATATATGGTCATTTTGAATTTCTTGTGATGCCATTTGGGTTGACCAACGCACCAACAACATTTATGGATATGATGAATAGAGTATTTCACCTATATTTAGACAGATTTGTGATTGTATTCATTGATGATATTTTAGTATACTCTCGAGATCATGATGAGCACACAGAGTATCTCAAAATCATCTTGCAGACTCTACGTGATGAGCAGTTGTATACTAAATTCAGTAAATGTGAATTCTGGCTTGATAAAGTTGTATTTTTGGGACATGTCATATCAGCAGAAGGAATTTATATTGACCCGCAGAAAACAGAGGCAGTGGTAAAATGGGAAAGGCCTACTAATGTAACTGAAATCCGAACTTTTCTTGGCTTAGTAGGTTATTATCGTCGTTTTGTAGATGAATTTTCTAAAATTGCTCTGCCTTTAACCAGTGTGACTAGAAAGAACGCTAAATTTGATTGGAATGAAAATTACGAAAGAAGTTTCCTCGAATTGAAAAATTGATTAGTGTCAGCTCCAGTTCTTACCTTTCCATCTCCAAGTGAAGAGTTTGTGATATATAGTGATGCTTCACGTCAAGGTCTTGGTTGTGTTTTGATATAGAATGGAAAAGTTATAGCATATCCTTCCCGACAGTTGAAGAAACATGAATTGAGTTATCCTACACATGACTTAGAGCTAGCTGCAGTTGTCCTAGCCTTGAAAATTTGGAGACATTACTTGTATGGTGAGAGATGCCAGATATATTCAGATCATAAAAGATTAAAGTATATTTTTGACCAGAAAGAGTTGAACCTGAGGCAAAAAAGATGGTTAGAGCTGATAAAAAATTACGACTGCAAGATTGATTATCATCAAAGAAAGGCTAATGTAGTTGTTGATGCTCTCAGTCGGAAAATATCGAGTCCTATGACCCAGACTAATGCAGTATGTTCATCTTTGTTTGGTGAGTTCAAAGCTTCTCATGCCCAATTATCAATTACCAGTGTAGAAACGTTGTTTGCCAACTTCCAAGTGAGGCCTACTTTGATTGACACAGTTAGAGAAACTCAAACTCAAGATCCAGTGTTGAGCAAATTGAAAGAAAAAGTTAGTAAATGTAAGCATACAGATTATACCATTCGAGATGACGGAGTTTTAGTTATAGGAAACAAATTACGTGTTTCAGATGATTTGAAATTGAAGGAAGAAATTCTAGAAGAGGCACATAGTTCAACTTATGTGATGGATCCAGGTAGTACAAAAATGTATCGTGTACTCAAAGAACACTATTGGTGGCATGGAATAAAAAGAGAAATAGCTGAATTTGTATCCAGATGTCTCATTTTCCAGCAAGTGAAACCAGATCGTCAGAGAACAGTAAGATTGTTACAACCATTGCCTATTCCTGAGTGGAAATGGGAACACATTACTATAGATTTCTATTCGGACTTCCACGGACTCAGAGTGGACATGATGGCATATGGATCATTGTAGACAGGTTAACGAAGACTGCTAGATTTTCACCTATTAAAGTCACTTACTCATCAGATAAATTGGCAAAAATATATGTTGATGAGATAATCAATTTGTATGGGACACCAGTATCTATTGTTTCAGATAGAGATTCTCGTTTCACTTCTAAATTTTGGCCCAGTTTGCAGAAAGCTATGTGTGCTAAACTTCATTTCAGTACAGCTTTTCATCCACATACAGATGATTAGTTAGAAAGAACTATTCAAACTTTGGAAAACATGTTACGAGCTTGTGTACTACAGTTTAAAGGGAACTGGGATACTCATCTTTCTTTGATGGAGTTTGTTTATAGTAACAGTTATCATTCGAGTATAGAAATGACTTCTTTTGAAGTACTGTATGGTAGGAAATGTAGAACTGCAGTATGTTGGGATGAAGTTGGTGAAAGAAAGTTATTGGGTCCTGAATATGTCCAGATTATTGTCGAGAAAGTAAAGATAATTAAAGAAAAGTTAAAGACAGCCCAATATAGACAGAAGAAATATACAGATAGACGCAGAAGAAATCTTGAATTTGATGTTGGAGATAGAGTTTTCGTACGATTGTTGCAATGGAAAGGTGTTATAAGATTTGGTAAATGAGGTAAATTGAGTCCAAGGTTTATTAGCCCATACGAGATTGTTGAACGCATCGATCCAGTTGCGTATCGATTGGCTTTGCCAACAGATTTGTCCAAAATTCATGATGTATTTCATGTTTTTGTGCTTCGTAAGTATATTCCAGATCTATCTCATGTTTTGGAATCACAACTAATAGAGCTGAAGGAAAATCTTACCTATGAAGAAGAACCAGTTCAGATATTGGATAGGAAGGAACAGGTCTTATGTAGTAAGATTATTCCTTTAGTTAAAGTTTTGTGGAGAAATCATGCTATAGAAGAAGCGACATGGGAAAGTGAAGAGCAAATGCGTTCTCAGTATCCACGACTTTTTCACACATGATCAATTGAATTTCGAGGATGAAATTCTTTTAAGGGGGTGAGTTTTGTAATACATTAAATTTATAAAAAAACAAAAACAAAAAGACAACAGACAAAAAAAAAAGGGGCAAGCGGTGGAACTCAAACAAATCTATTATAAATTATCCAAATCCATTATAAATAACACACTACATAGACATAAGATAACGGTGCAGAGAAGAAAAAGAGAGAAAAAGAGAAAGCAAAAAGAGGTAAAAAATGGAAAGAGGAAGAAAAAAAGAAAAAAAAGGTTAAAATTTTGCCAATGTGTTTTGAATTAAGTGTTCTATCCTATTAGTCTTGAATTTCTCAATTTTGAAAGGTAAGTAAAAAGTTATTTATTGAAAGGTTATGTTTGATTTTATAGTTGTTACATTGTTAGATTAAATTAAATTTTATTGAAAGGATTAAGTGCAATAAACTATGAAATTGAATAAAATGAAAGAAAAATTAGTTTTAGTAATTAAAGAGACTTTAGAAATCGCCTAAACGTGAAATAATTAAGTTTGGGTATCGCCTATTTAATTGATGAAATTTCTTAAAATAGTTAATTATTGATTTAAAAATGATATCATATTTCAGGCGGCGATATAGATATCGAGACAACGTATCAATCGAGTTGATTTTGGTGTACATAGTTTTATAAGTGGAAAAACATAAATATTTTTAAGGTATTTATAAATTAAGTATATTGTTAAAGTATGTTCAACTATATAAAATTACGTGTTTGAATTACATGGTTATTATGGAAATCTCTTTTATTATGATACATGTGGAATATCAAAGATTATTTATGACGTATTTGTAACCTGGTATGTAAGACATGTGATATTAAGATTTGTTTGGTATGTGAGATATGCAATATTGAGATCGGCCAGAAAAGTACCCATGATTATATACTTCTTCTAGTTCACAAAGGGGCTTTGGCCGTGTTCTATTTTACACGGAGGATCTTGATCTGACATTGTCTTGATTTTGTACATATAGTTCACAAAGGGATCTTGGCCGTATTCTAGAATT